GAGTCACACTGTCAACTTTGCTGGTCTGCGTCAATACAGTTGGGATTTGTTGCACCAGTTGGTGTTAATAACAAAAAAAATTACACACGGAAATAAAACAGGGACTACATTAGTGTTTCACAGAAAATTTTCATGCAGTGAGTTGATCTGAAATAGGATCGAACAGGTTTCAAATCAGAGACTCAGGTTTTGAGATCTTTTATTTTTAGCTTTTTCCTCAGACTGTGGGGTACCACAGGGTTCAATCCTAGGTCATCTCATGGTTTTTTATATGGTGGCTTTGGATCAGTTGTTGTTTTGATGATAATGTCTGAATTTATAGTCCATTAAAATCTAGTAATTGAGGCAGCTTGTTAAGGTGCTAAGTGCTGAGCCAGTCTATGAACAGAGACACTTTTAGTTGCTTCAAAAATCCTGTAAACTAGAACAAATTCAGTGTTTGTCAATCAGCTTTATCCAGACTCTTCGTCTGTTTGAATACTTAAAGTACTTAAAGTCGAATTAAAAACGTAATCCATCCTGTAAATCACAACACCTGCTTTTCTAGGAGGAGACAGAGATTCAGGGAGGAGCTAAGATGCTACTGAGCTATAGAAAAGAAAGGAACATCCATGTTCGGCAAAGTTCAATACATAAACCAGACATTACTTTTATTCAACATGTCACTGGATCACTGTTGGTTTTCTCTGCTATTGCTTTCTTTTCTAACAGGTCTGTTAAATTATACATGAAAATGTTCAGTTTAAATAACACTGGCATGTAAACTGGTCTGAGTCTTTTACATCATCTAATAACAGAGTCGTCTCTTCCTTTAGGTGTCAGCTGTGACAAACTCACTCCAGTCAACAGTGAAAAGTCCAGTGTAGAAGGCAGCGCGGCTACTCTGTCCTACACATACACCAAACTGTCGGGTGGTGATTACTTCTTATGGTATCGCCAATATCCAGGAAAACCACCACAGTTCCTCATCCCACATTCTGGTTCAGGAGAAATAGGAAATAATCCAGTCACTGGTCTGAAAGTTGAAGTGGAGCAAACGCAAATAAATCTGGAGATCATCTCAGCCAACGTCTCTGACTCTGCTGTGTACTACTGTGCTCTGCAGCCCACAGTGACAGGAAACACCAGGACTCTGTACAAAAACCTCTGGAGCAAACACAACACAACGCTCCACAACGTCCACTAGAGGGAGCCACACACTGTGAACGTCACTGCTCTGTGATGCTTCAGTTTAGAAACTTGTAGTGATGATAACACAACATTAAGTAGTGAAGATTATACACAATGAGGTACAGTTGTTTCATACAACACAAACTGATGATAACAAGGTGTTGTGTAATGCCACTTACTGTACACTTTACCAAAACTGAGTGAAACCTCAAATCCTTTGACCCCCTAATGGAGCATGAACTCAAATGAAAACTTTAACTGTTGTATTTGCTCTACTATTGACAGATAACACAATCTGAGTTGTATCTCCATAAAGTGTTGGGCTCTGAAGACCCACGATTTGAGCCCTTTTACTCTCATCTTAATAAAACCAGTTTTCTTTTGTTTTCT